GAAGCAGCACAGCTGATGTTTCTTTCCAGGATGACGTCACAGCCAAACAGGAACAGACGAGGCAAAGCTACTCTGAGGAAAAGCAGAGAGAGCAGAAGGTTAGAGATTGAACTAACAGATTCTGCAGAATAGGAGAACAGAGAGAGAATGAAGCAGAATGATGAAATGGGGGTCCCTATGTCCTCCAGAAGTCTAAGCCTATAGCAGCATAACTATAGAGATAGCTCAGGATAACCTGAGCCACTCTAACTATAAGCTTTATCAAAAAGGAAAGTTTTAAGCCTAGCCTTAAAAGTAGACAGGGTGTCTGCCTCACGGACTAAAACTGGTAGTTGGTTCCACAGGAGAGGAGCCTGATAACTAAAAGATCTGCCTCCCATTCTACTTTTAGAAATTCTAGGAACCACTAGTAAACCTGCAGATTGAGAGCGAAGTGCTCTGTTAGGAACATAAGGAACAATCAGATCTCTGATATAAGATGGAGCTTGGCCATTTAAGGCTTTATATGTGAGAAGGAGGATTTTAAATTCTATTCTTGATTTAACAGGAAGCCAATGAAGAGAAGCCAGGATAGGCGAGATATGATCTCTCTTTTTAATTTTCATTAGAACTCTGGCTGCAGCATTTTGGATCAGCTGAAGGCTTTTAACTACAGTTTGTGGACTTCCTGATAGTAAAGAATTACAATAGTCCAGCCTTGAAGTAACAAATGCATGGACTAGTTTCTCAGCATCACCCCTGGACAGGATATTTCTAATTTTTGCAATGTTCCTCAGATGAAAGAAGGAAATTCTAGAAACCTCCTTGATATGGGACCTAAATGACAGGTCCTGATCAAAAACAACACCAAGATTTTTTACTTTATTATCTGAAATCAGTTTAATCCCATCCAAATGAAGTGACTGGCTAATCAGTTTCTTTTTCAGAGACTCTGGTCCAAAGACTATAACTTCTGTTTTGTCTGCATTCAGAAGCAGAAAGTTAAGAGTCATCCAGGTTTTTATGTCTTCAAGACATGCCTGTAATCTATGTAATGGGTTAGCTTCATCTGGATTTATAGACAGATATAGCTGGGTATCATCAGCATAACAGTGGAAATTAATCCCATGCTGTCTAATAATTCTACCAATTGGGAGCATGTATAAAGTAAAGAGAATTGGTCCTAGCACTGATCCCTGTGGTACTCCACAGGTAACCTTTGAGCGTGTTGAAGATCTATCATTAACATGAACAAACTGAATTCGATCAGATAGATAAGATTTAAACCAGTCTAGTGCTGTTCCTTTAATTCCAACAAAATATTCAAGTCTTTCTAAAAGAATATTATGGTCAACTGTATCAAATGCAGCACTAAGATCCAACAGGACGAGCACAGATACAAGTCCATTATCTGAGGCCATGAGAATATCATTAGTGACTTTCACCAGAGCTGTTTCAGTGCTATGATGAGCTCTAAAGCCAGACTGAAACTCTTCAAAAAGTTCATTATGGTGGAAGTGATCGCAAACTTGTTTGGCAACTACTTTCTCAAGAATTTTGGATAAGAAAGGAAGATTGGATATAGGTCTATAATTGACCAAGTCATCTGGGTCAAGAGACGGTTTCTTAAGCAGAGGTTTAATTACAGCAACCTTAAAAGCTTTAGGTACATATCCCTGTAACAGAGATAGATTAATCACATCTAAAATGGAGGAGGAGATCAAAGGGAATACCTCCTTAAATAACCTGGTTGGAACTGGATCTAACATACAAGTTGAAGGCTTAGATGAAGACAATAATTTTGCTAATTCAGAGAGTTCAACTGGATCAAAGCAGTCTAAACCCAGTTCAGATTCCATGACTACCTCAGGTACAATCGCGGATAGAGGAGTGCTTATGATCTTATTTTTAATAAGATCAATCTTATTTATAAAGAATCCCATAAAGTCATTGCTGCTAAGAGCAGGTGGAATGGACGGTTCAACAGAGCTATGGCTCTGGGTGAGTTTGGCAACTGTATTAAAAAGAAATCTAGGATTATTCTTATTCTCCTCTATTAATGAGGAGAAGTATGCTGCTCTTGCTTTACAAAGGGTCCTCTTATACAGCAGTAAACCATTTTTCCAGACTAGGAAGGACTCTCGCAGGCCTGTGGAGCGATATTTTCTCTCCAGTTTCCTAGCATTTTGCTTCAAAGTACGCAGCTCTGCATTAAACCAAGGAGCAAGCTTTCTATTTTTAACGGTTTTCATTTTCAAAGGAGCTGCGTTGTCTAAGGCAATACGCAGAGAACTAGCAACCCCATCAACAAAATCATCAACCTGTGAAGGGGAATAAGCTAAACTTTTGCACTCTGCAGCACTGCTCAGTGACACAGAGGAGAGAGAAAGTGAAGCAGATTCTTTAAAATTTATAACTGCACTATCTGATAAAGATCTACTAAAATTGAACCTTCTTTTGGGGGAGGAGAACTCTGTTAAAGTAATCCTGAAGGTTATTAGAAAGTGGTCAGAGAGGACAGGGTTGTGAGGAAATACTGTTATTTCTTCACATTCTATGCCGTATGTCAGCACAAGATCCAAAGTATGAAGATGAGAATGCGTGGGACTATTCACATTTTGAACAAAGCCAATAGTGTCTAAGATAGCATTAAAGGCTGCTCTTAAGCTATCGCCTTCAATGTCAGCATGGATGTTAAAATCTCCCACTATGATGACCCTGTCAGTATTTAATACCAAATCAGAAAGGAACTCTGAAAACTCATCTAAAAATTCAGAGTAAGGACCTGGTGGACGATACAAAGTTACAAAAAGAAGAGGTTTTCTTGCCTTGAAATTTGGATCAGGGAAATTAAGGGTTAAATGTTCAAAAGAGTTGTAGGTATTAACTGTTTTGGGAGTAATCAGTAAGTCAGACTGGAAGATTGTTGCTACTCCTCCTCCTCGCCCAGAACTTCTGGGGATGTGAAAATTTAAATAGCTTGAAGGAGTTGCCTCATTTATGCTCACATAATCCTCTTGCTGCAGCCAGGTTTCTGTAAGGCAAAACAAGTCAATGTGATTATCACAAATCAAGTCATTAACTAGTAGACTTTTAGAGGAAAGCGATCTTATGTTAAACAGACCGCATTTAATTGTTTTAACTTTTTCCCCAATTTGAGTTATTTTGATTTTAATTAGATTATCATGATTTACTCCTTTGGGAATCTTTGCTAATTTATTAGATTTTGGTCGTGGGCAAGACACTGTCTGGATGGAGTAAAGAGTGGGTAACAGTAGAGAAGCTGCAGAGATGTGTGTTAAACTACAACTCTGCTTCCTGGTCTGCACCCTGGGTGGTCAGGGTTTTGGAGGACTAATAAATGTGGCCAGATTCCTAGAAAGAAGAGCTGCACCATCCAAAGTGGGATGGATGCCGTCTCTCCGAATCAGACCAGGCTTTCCCCAAAAGGATTGCCAATTATTAATGTAGCCCACGTTGTTTTCAGGGCACCACCTAGACAACCAGCGGTTGAATGACGACATGCGGCTAAACATGTCATCACTGGTCACACTAACATTTCAACTGTTTGTGTCCTTCTCCTCTGCAGAGTAAAATAAACCTTTTTCTTCCTTGCATATCAACTCTCAGTGCTCATTTTAATTCACAAGGGTCTTAATCAGGGTCCCAGAGTGGCAGGCTGTGGGGATCAAACCGGATACTTGCAACCTTCTCAGAACACAAGCAGACGGCACTAACATCTAGGCCAACACTCCCCATGTGTTCTATAGCTCCAAGCGTTTAAGGATCCAACTGTGTAGCAAGAATCAGAATCATCAATCAGAAAACAGGTCAGAATCCAAAAAGTCAATCAAAACACTTACTTGATCACTAGAGCTCCTTACACCGAAACAACTTGAATAATCTGGCACTGATGGAAAGCAGGCAAACAACATAAATAGCTGAGAAACCAGGTGAAAATCATCAGCGTTTAATCAGCCGCTGGGCCAATGGGACAGGTGAGCAGGAGCAAATGGAAAAGTCAACCATCAACACCAAGACCATGACAGTTATCCCAGCCAAACCACCCATACACCACAATATTCACACCTGGACCGGGTCCCTCTCTCTGAATCCATCAAAGGCAGCAAGAAACTTGGATGTCATGATTGAAGACCAGCTGACCTTTAAGATCATGTTACCTCTGTCTCTTGATCTTGTCGCTTCACACCACATTAGAAAGATCCGGCCATACCTAACAACATGCTACCCAGCTCCTGGTCAGGTCTATGGTTATCTCCCATCTAGACTATTGTAATGCACTCCTCACTGGACTCCAGAACACGGCAGCATCTCTGGTCTTTAGTCAGCTCAAAAAGTTTGACATCACATCTCTGTCCATTGAGCTTCACTGGTTCCCCCTGGCTGCCCGCATCAAATTCAAGTCCCTGATGCTAGCCTACAGAGTGCTAAAGGGTATGGCTCCCATCTACTTGAACCCTCTAGCAAAGGCTCATGTCTCAACTCAGTCACTCCGCTCATCAATGGATTGTCGTCTAGCAGGGCCTAAACTGCGCTTAAGAGAATCAATACTTTTTTCATGGGTTGTTACAAGGTTGTGGAATGACCAACTAAGCGCTTCAAGGCCCTAACCACCCCCCCCCCACCCCCCCCACACACACACACACACACACACTGGTTCTGCAATATATAGTGAGGACCATGTGTTGACTTTCATTGACTTCAATTGATTTCCAACCCTTTCTATGCCCTTACCCTAAACTTAAAGGGGAACGCCGTTTCTTTCTATTGGACCAATGGAAAGAAACGGTGTTCCCCTTTAACCATTACTAATGCATACCTCACCCAAACCCTAACCCAACTGACACCTTACCCCTAAAACTAACCATTGACAAAACAGTGTGAGGACTGGCAAAATGTCCTCACTTTACAACAGCTGGTCCTCACTCTGAGGGCTAGATAGGTACACACAAACACGCACACACAGACAGAAACGTTTCGGCCCCCATAGTTTTATTGACATTTTCCCATCTTAGTTAAAGCGTTTATTGACTGGACTGTGTCAACCCTGGAGATTCATTTGTTTCTGTTCAATTTATTGTAGATTTATGCATTAGGCACATAGGACAATCATTTGACTGAATACAAAACAACCTAAAGATATTATTGCACAACACCTCAATAGAAAGAATTCAATACAAAAAGATGATTTTCTTTGGAACAAAGATGTGCAGCGGAAGTTTGGAGCACATTCAATCTGAGGGGATTTAGTAATGCCGGTAGCCCTGGTTCTGGTTCTGGGCGTAGTTAACTGGCTCCTGGTAGCCCTGGTTCTGGTTCTGGGCGTAGTTAACTGGCTCCTGGTAGCCCTGGTTCTGGTTCTGGACGTAGTTAACTGGCCCCTGGTAGCCCTGGTTCTGGTTCTGGTGGTAATGATCATAAGCCATGTGGTTGGGGTCTACAGCAGGTATGTAGTTTGGGTCTGTAGGGTCCTCATTGGCAGCGAAGGCCTGGTTCTGTAGTCCGCTGTCAGGGGAGGAGTCCTCGGGGTCGGGGCTTTGATCGAGCAGCGCTTTGTTTTTCTTTAACACAAGTTTTTGCCCAAACATGCGGAACAGATATGCGGCGACGGAAACTTCAGCTATCTGCAGAGAAAACAAAGACAGGAGCAGTGGGCCCCCCATCAGCCAGGGTAATTATAGCTGGAACAGTCAGACTCTGGTGTTTGTTGGTACCTGCAGCAGAATGAGGATTGCATCCATTACGATGATTGTCAGGAAGTTCCCCTGCAGCCAACTACCGATCGTCTGAATGCAGTTCTGACAAATCAAACATGGCGTCAGTAAACCACTAATTGTCAGCCTCCAAACATCTAAATCTATTTAACCACATATTTTTGCATTCTATAGAAACAGAATTTATATATTTTTGTGAAGTTTAAAAGAACATCAAATATCATTCTAACTCTCAAACCAGGATCCAGTATAAATATGGTGCAGTTGGTATTTAGGAGTTCATCACAGACTCCTCATCAGTACCTTAGTAAAAAGTCCACTTCCTTCTTTAATCCCCAGCTCAGAGAACGAGCTGTTTTCCGAACACCAGGACGAGTTAAAACCGGGTTGAACGGAACTGAAGCAGGAACATGGCGCCACAACCGGACTCGTCAGGTTCAGAGTTTTAATGAAGCTGTTGTTGAGCCAGTCAGCAGGACCTTTGTAGCCACAGCACTCCGCCTGTGAGCCAGAATCAAGCTGAATATTAAGGTTGGGTCCAACTTTAAGCAGGACAGAAGCATCAGCAGAGAGACTCACTGAATGCTGCACGCTGTCCATTATTCTGCTGCCGCTGCTGTCGCTGTTGTTCCCGTACTGGAAGATGATCTGATCCACAGACTCTGTCAAACTTTTCTCAATCTGATCACAGAAAACAAACGTCAGCTGCAATCTTTGAAAAGAATAAAACAAGTTAGAACCTAAAAGGAATTGAAATGCAATCTAAGATGGACCCGTTTAACATTTCTGGGACTTTAATTAAAACCAACCACAAAACACTTGTTTTGGTTTGTTAATACTCTAAACCTGGAGCTAAGGGAGTTATGGAGCTTCCAGCCTGGTACCAGTCAGCGTGCCCCAGGGCAGCTGTGGCTGTTATGTAGCTCATCACCACCAGCATATGAATGAATGATGGAATGACTTAATGTGCTGTTTTGATAAAGCTCTATTCAGCTACAGTCCATTTACCATTAATTATGGGTTAAAGTATCACTTATACATTACTAAACAGAGAATTTATGCAGCCATGTTTGGGTTAATGATGTTGCTTCAGAAACCTCCAAAATGTCCAGCCAGTCACACAGCTTAAAGCTGGAGAACTTTAAACTAACTGACCTTTCCATGTGAAAATGTAAAGGAGGACCTACCTTGCTTCTATTAAAGAGGAGCAGGAATGTCACAAACAACTGACCCAGAACCAGAACAATGAGGAATCCCAGGTACTGTGGAAGGAGATAGTTCAGCGTTTTAGCAGCATGCAGCGCTATGAGTCACCTCTGTGTAACTGATAGAAGTAAAGCGGGCCGTAGAGAAGCCCAGCAGGTCAGAGGATGCCGAGACTCACCACCAGCAGCATGAACCTTTTCTCCATGGTGGCTCCAGCACATCCGGTGAGGCTGATCAACACCACCACTCCGCCAATCATAAACAGGCCTGATGCCACCACACGAAGCTCCTCTGCCACAAACACAGAAAACCACAAGTCACACGCCTCTACGGCTTGTTTCCATTACCTCCTTTGGTCTGAAGAATTTCTCTATAGATTGGAGACTTCTGTGAAGCTCCTCCATTCACTCTGTGATGCAGCAGAATTAGTGCAAAGCAGCCAGGAAGCTCTTCACTGTAAAATATTCGATCCTCAAAGTTCTACACAAAACATCCCAGAATAAAAAGGAACAGTTTAGTTGAAAATTTTGCAAATTCAATAGAACAATTTGAAAATAATCTTAATTTGGGGTGTTGCACGGTGGGGCAGTTTGCTGCCTCTGCAGCGAGAAAGTTCCTGGTCCGATTCCTCATGTCTGTCTGCATGGAGTTTGCATGTTTTCCTTCTGCATCTTTGGATACTCTGGCTCCTTCCCACAGTCCAAGAGCATGACTGTAAGGGATGCTTATCCTCCTGCAGCAGTGTGGCACAGTGAGCTTGATGCAGACATTTTTGATTTATGTTCAATATTGACGCGTGGTCTATACGCTGTGGGTCTAGATACGGCTGAGGCGGAGAGGAACTGCGGGTGAGTTTGTGCGACAACGGAGGGACATGGCGGCGATAAAGAGCGGGAATCCAGGTGGAAAAAGGATCCCAGCGTTCTGACGCACCTCGATGTTCTAGCTGCTCCATCTTCACTAGTTTTTTCCCGCAATTTCGGTCCTAAAAACAAAGCAAGCCGGCCTCCTGTCAGGTACAATTTGGGAGAGGTGCAGCGGAGGGGGCGACTTTTTGTTCACTGCGACACCTACGCAGACAACCTGGTTTCGAAATGTAAATCAGCCTTTAGTGTGGAAGGAACAACAGACGGCCCAGGCAGGATTTAATCTCCAGACTCCCAGGTGGAAACCAGGCATGCTGACCAGTCAGCCAAAGGGACAATTAACCAAGAAGCAAGATCAGTCAGAGGCACGGTGAAAGGACCAAACTGTCACATTAGATGGGTCTCTAAATTGTCCTTAGTTGTGTGTGCTGTGTTCATTTCGTCAGCTTTTTTTTTAATTTGGTCACAAAGACAAAAATCTATTTTAGTCTTAGTCATATTTTAGTCATTGTTAGTTTTGTCATTTTAGTCAACACTGTACAGAATAAACTTCTTCAGACAGTTTCTCTTTTTCTCTATTTTATTTATATAACACTGTGCAGAATAGAATGTCACACACTGCTTCTCTTTTAAACATATATCTCTCTGCACACATTGAACCTTCTGTCGGGTGGATTCATCACATCCACTTGGTCTTCATCCTCAAACAGACTTCCCTTCCTTCCACCTCTGATCTGGCTGTGATGTCACTGGGTCAGGAATCTAGTTTGGAGGAAGAAATTTAAACGACTAATATCCAGAGTATCAGTAGAACATCTTTCTTCTATGACAGAGAGACAGACAGACACAGGAAGCCACACACACACCTGTTCCCACCACTACAGGCCCCCCCGTTTCTTACCTTCTTCCGTATGGCAGCATGTCGGCTCCTCAGATGTCGCTGGAGATTCACTTTGTTCTTTCCTGCCATTTTGAAGCAGCAGACTCTTTGGTGGCGTCCTTCCCCCGGTTTTCTCCTTCACGTCGTAAATGAAATGGCTCCATACATCCATACGTTGTTTTCGCCCACCTCGTCCAACAAACCGCACACCAGTACCTGAGCCCCCGCCATGACTGCGAAGTTGAGCTATGAGTATAAACCCTCTGCTTCTACTGACTGAGCGGCGCGAGGGACTGAGGGACAGGCGCCATGTGGGACAAACAGGGCAACAACGAGTAATCTTCTATGAAGCTCAAGAAACACTTATATTAACAATTACAAATGAAATATAAACATTTACATTTCTTAATGTCCAGTTGTCAATGGATCATAGATTTTGTCTGTCTTAGTCTCGTTGACGAAAATCGCTTTTTATTTCTGTCATTTTTATTTTCTGGAAACAATTTTTGTGCGTCATAATCTCGTCATCGTCGGAAAAAAGGGGCGTTGACGACATATTTTCGTCATTGTCCTGGTTGATGAAATTAACACTGCGTGTGCAGGTCGTCTGCAAACGCAGAGACGTCCCCGTCTCCTCCGCAGACACTCTGCTGCTCCCCTCCAAACTTGTGAGTGAGCGCAGACAGGAAGCCTCTGATTGGTCAAATCTACATCCGCTCTACTCTATGCATATTTCCTGTTTGGTTCCTTACCAGCTTGTTTTGTTTGTCTGACCGCCATTGTGGAAAATGACTGAAGATGGAGCAGCTAGCAGAGCGAGGTGCGTGAGAACGCTGGGAGCCTTTTTCCACCTGGATCCCCGCTCTTTTTGGCCCTCATGTCCCTCCGTTGTCGCACAAACTTGCCCCCACTTCCTCACCGCCTCGGCCGTATCTAGACCCACAGCTAGTTCCTGATTGGCCCTCTGGCGTTGTGGCGTGGACTAACATAGCGCAGACCATGCTTCAATGTTGGGCATAAATCAAAAATGTCTGCGACACGCTGCTGGGGGAGGAGAACCAGCAGATCCGATGTCACCCTGAGAACTTCTGGAGAAAGGAAAGAATATGTGATTCATCTGCTTCTTTCTAAAAGGCTTCATGTCTCCCGTTTGTTTCTTTACTAGTTTACAGCTTTTCTTACCTTGCAGGTGTTTTTGGTTCTTACGGTATATATTTTTTTTGCATTTGTTTTGTGTCTCTGCAAGTCTCTTTTTTGTGTCAGCGGTACTTTAGGTATTTGCTACCTGTTTATCCTCTCCAAACGACCCGTTATAAAGTGTTTACAACTAATAACTCAGAGTACATGAAAATCCCACCGGTAAAATGTTTACAGATATAAACATGTTAGACATTGTTGGAAACAATGGCGTAACGACACAACAATAAGCAACATTATCTGGGTGGGCCCCATATGAAGTACAACTCCCCATAGCAGCCTGTCAACATGTAAACAAAGCAGCCACAATAAGCAAGCAGGTCTTTATTACTGCTGTTCAAAAAAGACCTTTTATGTTCGAGAGGAATCAAAAAAACAACTTTGAGTCATGTTTGAACTGATGCAGCTTGACCTGTGTTCTACTAACCCAATTTTATATTTTTAGAAACTAGAAGGTGTTAGCTTTCATAAATGTATTGCACATGTAACTTGCTTTTCTATTTGGGTATGTAAAAATAGGCGAGGATTACCCAAAATAAGGTGTTAAGAGGTTGAGTATTTGAAGGGTTTGTACCTCTTATTAAGTTTTTACCCAAGTTGGACTGTTTACCCCCCAGTGAATAAATGTACTAAAGTTTAAATGTTTCTGTGGGAAAATGTTGCTGCACTTAATCTTGAGTCCATTCAACATTTCTGAAGCATCTTTAAAGCTGGGGACTTGTTACCGGAGGAGAGAACCTGGAGGAAGTTTCCGGTGTCAAAGAGGATCCAGATTCCGCAACCCATAACGCTCAGACCCAGAACCTGCAGAGAAGATCCAAATGAGGCAAAATTATCAACCCTTCAACATTTCATTCAGGTGAAACAAGTTTAGCTTCCATGCAAAACACGGAGTGTGGAGGATAAGGGTGAGTTGGAGCCTTTTTCTGCAGCTGAGAGTCTTGATGTTTGATCCGAGAGCCGCTTAGTAGGGATGGGCCCTACGGATAACAGTCTGGAAATAAAGGATGGAGCTCCGGCCTGCATCACTAAGTTTAAAGACATGCTTTAGACCCAGATGGAGCCGGTGGGGAGTGGTGGTCCTCAGAGCCCACCCTCTATAGGGGCCCTTCATTATAAATCCAAGTTTGCTATTATAAAAACACTGGGGTTCAATTTATTCTTTAAAAAAATTCTACACACCAATGATTATCTTCTTTAATTGGAAAATGTGAGGTGCAGCTTTAAACAAACCTTTAATTTCTCACTAATTCACTTTAATTGCAGATTGGACAACAAAGATCCAGCTGAAGAACAGTTTTGGAAGGGAAACTTATTTAAGCAATATTGTTTCATGTTCTTTTTGAAGAGACATAAAATTATATCGTTTGCTGTTTGCTTTATGTTTTTTTTTTTTATTATTGCATGTAATTAGTTTAGGTCAGAGGTCATGGATTAGCGGAACAGGGTCCAGATCTGGACCGACCTGCTGGCTAATCCAGACACAACCTGATTTAAAACCGGACGGACGGACGGACTGACTCATCAGATCCCTGTTAAAAAAGTAACATCCATTAGTAGAGGTAATGCAGCCTGATGATATTTACACCGCCTCAGATAGCGTTCCCCCCATGTGAAGCAGGGGGAACGCTATCTGACGGGGTTTATAGGTCCGTCAGATAGCGTTCCCCCCTGATGTCATTTACGTTGAGTTGCAATAAATGCTAAACTCTCTGCAGGTTCTTGTCTTTGTCGTCCGCACTATTCAGCTGGCTTTGAAACACACGGCGAGAAGGTGGGGGCCGAGTGGGGAGGGTTACGGGGGCGAGAAACGCAAAAGTAATGCAATAGTTACTTTAACTAGTAACTAGTTACTTTTATTGTGGAGTAACTCAGTTACTCTTTGGGAGAAGTAACTAGTAACTATAACCTAATTACTTTTTTAAATTAACGTGCCCAACACTGTAAATGTCCTGTACTTATATAGCGCCTTTATTCAAGTCAGGAGACTTGACCAAAGCGCTTTACACGACATTCATTCACCCATTCACGCACACACTGATGGTGGTGAGCTACACTGTAGCCACAGCTGCCCTGGGGCTCACTGACAGAAGCGGGGCTGCCGTACACTGGCGCCACCCTCTGACCACCATCAGTAGACAATGCAGGTGAAGTGCCTTGCTCAAGGACACAACGACAATAAAAGATGGAGTCGGGGCTCGAACCGTCAACCCTTCGATTTCAGGACAAACTCCTAAATCCAACGCCAATGTAGACAATAAAGAAATTCCCCCACCCTCTAGAAAAGAACAGCTTTCCATCTACCTGAGAAATATCAAAAACAGAACCATAAGGCGACCAAAGGGAAACTATATGTGGAAATAGGAAAGAGTCCAGAACTACCTGAAATAAATAACAAAACAAAAACTGTCAGAACAAACTGTCAATCAAACTCACATCCATTGATGTTATTTTTGGGGCCTTTGGTGGCGAAAGTTTGACAACCGAAAAACAACCTTTTAATGAAAAGTTATGAGGAAGTGTTGCAAAAGAAGCAAAGCTGAAAACAAGCAGGCTCCTTCTCCTGGTTAATCATTCAGGAAACTCTGACGTCTTACCAGGAAAATGGAGTTTAAAACCCCAAAGCAGAACTTGAGCAGCTCGATCTTCACCTCCAGCTCCATCCTGACCAACGGCAGCAGGTTTGGGTTTGAAATCCTTCTAAGGTCCAGACTTCCTGGACCGTCTGAGATGATCTCCAACAGACATCTTCAGCCACCTCCCCCAGCCCGCTGATCAGAGGTCAGTTCCTCATTGTCTGTAATTATTAACCCGCTCAGGTGGTTTCCATGGAAACCAGAGTCAAGAGGTCAGGATGTGGACTCCTCAGATTCACCTGAAACCTTAAAGCCTGTTTTTATTTCTCAGCTGAGGGGGAACAGTTAGAAATACTCAATAATTCACTCACAATGTTCTCCAAACAGCTTAGTCAAAAAGAACACTAACTACATTTCCCATCAGCCCTGTGGTCAAGCAGAACCAGCTGTAAACTGGGAAGGAACAAGGAAGCAGAAGGTGATGGATCTATGATCCACTCATTAAAGCCACAGGAAGCAGTTTTATTGAAATCAACATTCCAACCTGTTAATGTTTGAGTTCATCTGCTGAAGAAGAAGGAAGATTTTCTGCTAGAAGTTTTATTTAGTTGTTTCAGATGCTGTTATGTGATCAATCCATGGTTTATATGAAAAACATCAGAGATGTTCTTGTTTGAATTAAACTGGATGAGGTGGTGAACTTTAAAATGCCTTGATATGACATGTGTGGTGAATTGAAGCTATAGAAATAAAATGAAGTGAGAACTGAATAAAAAAAAAAACTAACAAATTTTGGCCGTTTTGACTCTGGTATTCTTTTTTAGTGTGAAAATGATCCGGTTTTTTTTGTTTTTTTTTAGAAACAAATTGTCTAATTTATTTCTTAGTGAACTGAGACCCTATAAATTAACCTAATCTATTATTATTTAATGAAAGCAGATTTTTGTATTGTTTTTATCGGTTGTTCAGCTGGAGACCTGCAGGCGGCGCTGTTTCTCACTTTATCTCTGAACAGTTTCATGTTAAGTTCTGGGAAAACAGAAGTCAGAACTAAAAAAAAAAACCTGAACTTTTGAATTTACTGATTGAAGAACAATATTGAAATAATGTAAAAGATGTAATAAAAAAATAAGTCAAAAGATTAGTGGCTGTTCCCTTTTCTGTCACCAGATGGCGCCATCTGGTGACAGATGGCATCTGTAGAGTTGTTAGACAGCATGGGATTAATTTCCACTGTTATGCTGATGATACCCAGCTATATCTGTCTATAATCCAGATGAATGGGTGGCTGCAGGTTCGCCTGCAGGAGATCATTCAGCTTCCAGGAGCTCCTCCCTCTTCTGGTTGCTAGATGTTTGGAGCCTTAGAGCAGAACATTGAACCATAAACGTTCCCCTCATGTTCCTCTCAGACCCTTTGCAGAACCAAGTCCAGTCACGCTTTCTATTGACAGGTTTACATAAGCTCCTGCAGGTTCTCTCTGTTCCTCTCTTTGTTCATCACCATAAAATCCTTCATGAATTAGAAAAAAATCTCCTCCACAAACCAAAGCATCCGCCGAGCTGTGCAACAGGTTTTACCTTCAGATGATTTTCTACAGAACCACGATGAAAACTGAAAGGAGGTTCTGCAGGATGACCTTCGATATCCTGATTGGGTCCTCCAGATTTAAATGGAAAAAAAGGTCTTTGATCCCTGAAATAAATAAACACTGTCTTTAAAAGGGAAATTATAACTGAAACTATCTGATGTGTTTTATAAAATTACTCTTTTTTTTATGTCTTGAGAATTGATGTGAAAGGTTTTTTTTTTTCCACATGACTCAGTTACAGTCAGCTGTAATTAAACCGCTGGTAAATAGTGTGTGTTGCTCAGTTAATTATTAATAAGGCTGAAGCAATTAATCGTAATTAATCAATAATGGAAATAATCGATTAATCGATTAATCATTAACTAGTAGAGACTCTAAAACGCTCCTGTGGTGAACAGAGCGACATGCTTAGAGCAGGAATTATACCAAAATTGTAAAAAAAAAAAATATATGTAAAGTAGAGCCAATAAAGAAGATATCAATGCATTTATAGTAGCTGGATAAAAACTGGCAAAGGCGTTCTAAAGACGAGTTAAAACTAAAACAGGAAAAATGAGACACATTCAGGAAAGCTGCTGCTGCTGAGCTCCTCTAGAAACTGGTTGATCATTTTCAGTTAAAATGTGGTGAAGATTCGTCTTTCTTTCCATGAAACTCCTCGCCGGACAGCAGGAAGGTCTTCAGCATCACCCTGGAGGGTGTCTGACCTCATGGGGGGGAGAACCTTAACTGGTTCGTTTAAAGAACAACCAGAGGGATCTGTTTTCACCCTGAGCAGAACAGAAAGGCTCTGCAGTCTGACTGATGCCACAGATGCTCGTCCATCAGAAGCAGCTGCTGGGCTGACAGCCAATCAGCTTCAGGCGCCTGCAGGCCTCATGTTCAGATCAACAGAGCTGCTGAATGTCACCGATATCAGGCGTCTATGTCTCAATCCAGCAGAGGGCGCCACAATGCACGAAAAACAAGCCAACATCTTCATGTTTCCAGACAGTAAAGACTGACTGCTTCTAATATTTAAGGGAAATATATTCCAGCACATTACATCTTTTTTCTTTTTTATATGTTTTTTTTTTGTACTATATACACTGTTTTTATATTTTTGTTGTTTTTTCTCTTTAATGGGATCTTGCTTTAACTCGTTGTACGACTGGAACCAGAATTTTCCTGCAGGGTAATCCCAAGGGATTCATAAAGTTGAGTCTAAGTCTGAACTCATGAATTTATTCATTCAGAGCCTTTAGCACAAAATTTACAATCTCACCAGTTCTTCAATGCATGTCGGTCTGAAAAGCAAACAAAAAGAAAACCTGCGCCCCACCCACCCCCTCCCATTTAGGGGGAAAAAAACACTTCCTTTGAATGTTGCTCTGCAGGAAAAATGCCTGCAGGAGATCAATCCAAACCAGGATCCAAACCGCCAACATGGAGAACAATGCGGTCATAAATCTGTGTGTCTTGTGCTGAACAACAGCCAGCGCTGCACATAGGAGCAAAACAGAACCAGGAATCGGTTCTTTAGATGTTCATATAGATCTATTTCAACCAGAGACTCCTCCTGTGGGACACTGATCTGGGCTCGGCTAGCATGGCCTGTCTGCTCCGTCTACCAGACCTCTTTAGCAGAACATTTCATCTGCTTTCATCTGACTGAAAAAGATCCTAAATGTTTCTAAAGGTTCTGAGAACAGGAAGAAGGTGATGATGAAGGTTTGTGTCTCCATCCTCTGAAGATGCTTTAGGTTACGATGAACAGAGGAACCTTCAGGTACGGCGGCTTCTAGGAATCTGAACCGGTCATTTATCCAACCATTAACCCTTTCCTGCTCTGTGTGACCTGATGGTGGGAGGAAGTCGGAGTACCCAGACAGAACCTGCAGATACACACGGAGAACATGGAAGCTCCCAGTAGGAGGACTTGGCTCAGGATTTGAACCCAGGTCCTCCTGCTAATCCAGAGGAACCACTAGCAGGTAGCAGATGCCTGCGTGGGACAGATTTTCCAGTCCCGCCCACAATTCCCACATGATTCCGATGTTCACCTACTGCTTAAGGCAATTCATGTCGTTAGTTTGAGGAATTAAACCCGCTGTGCTTAGCTGAGCACATTACTGGCCCATTCTTCAGCGCATAAAGCATGATGGGCATTAGGTCACACGAGCTGTTGCTTCACAGCAATACCCAACTAACCGACCAAATCTACTGAGGATATTAGGAATAATATACTGTGCATAATCTTATATGCCGCTCATCGTCACGTTCACGTATGAAATAAAAATATAATAAGTTTTAATCAATTATTTTAAACACTGTATGATGGATATAGTCCAAAATGTTTTTATTAATAGATAGGCTACCAAATACAATATCCAGCACATTTTAAAACAGTTTTAAGTTCGTTGGACTGCCGCTTATCGCCGCTCCCGCCCGCACCTGCCAGGAACTTTCAATATGTGTCCCGCGCCGCACTACTTTGCGTTGGGCTCTAGCAGGAAGCTAAGCAGGTTCTTCTTCTGGTTCTGTTGATTTTTTGGGATCATTGGGAGTTCTGGTTCTGGTTCTGGTTGGTAGGACAGCCTCATGTTTCCTTCTTTCTGAGTCACCAGGATGATTCTGCTAATCAGACTCCTGCATGTCTGGTTCTTTCCTGAACAGGGTTGATTCTGACGATCCACACAGATAAAGATGGACCCGACAGTGAGGTCAGAACCACAGCAGCAGCTCTGTCTGCATCCTGCCAATAACGTTTCTATCTGCTCTGGTTCGGTCCAACTGGGATCTGAACCAAAAACAAAATGGAGGAAAACTCATTAAATCTGTTTCTTTGACCTGGTAAGAAAGAAAGTTCTGGGTTCGGATCCAAGTCTGGACCTTTCTGTGGGACGTCTGCATGTTCTCCACCTCCACGCCTTGGTTCTCTCCTGGTACTCCAACGTCCTCCCTGTCACAAAGTGGATGATGGTTCTGGAGGGTCCAAATGTTGGCAGAAACGGACAGGAACAGATAGAACCCAGATAGAACCTGAACAGAACCTCAGGAAACTAATAGACCTAAAAAGGAGCTGAGACTCTGATCAGAGGACCGAGATGGGAACGGAACAGGAACCAACAAGCAGAACAGATCCAAAACACAACGAGACGTAAGAGTCAGAACCAGCAGGGAACCCAGAAACAGGAAGTAGATCAGGACATCAGTCCAGATTTCCGGTGCTGGACCATCTCGGTTCCTCCAGGAGGAGCTTCAGATCTTTGGCGTGGAGCGTGATGTTCTGGGACTGTTTGTTCCACATCCTGGTTCTGAACTCAATCCAGCGGTACGAAAGAAACATCATCTCAGACGGATCCCCAAACTGATCACTCGGGTCCAACAGAACCAGAGGGCTGCAGACCCGACTGAAGCTGTGAAAGTGTGGAGACCCAGGAGTTCTACAGGACAGCGGTTCTGGTTGTGACTTATCTATGTCTCAGTGGGGCGGATCTGTGACTGAAGTCCTCCAGGTCTGGACTTGTTCAGGGAGGATTTGGACACGCCCCCCTCAGCTCTGCTCCGGGCTCAGTCAGCTCCAGCCTCTGGTCCAGGATGAACGTCCTGCTCCCTCTCTGGGTCACCCTGATCCTGTTCTCC